TGAAAGAAGGTTCTTCAGATTATAAAAAGGTAAGAAAGAGATGGTTCTTTAAAGAGACCTTTGACTGAATGGTTCTTTGTGGAACCAAAAATGGTTCTTCTATGGCATCGCTTGAAGAACCTTTTAAGCACCTTTATTTTTAAGAGTATAGTTTAACCATGATATTTGTTCAACTGTGGTTATACAAATTATAAAAAAAAACAAACAAAAAAAAAACATGGTTACTACACTTTTACTAAAATAAAACCATGGTTAATTTTAGATTTGTTGGGGTAATATTGGCATTGTTGGGGTTCAAAGCTGCTTTAGCCCAGGGCCCCCGCACTAACAGCTTCTAATCTACAATGGCCAAATGGTTTTCTTAAATGACAAAGGGCTGCTTTTAACTTTCCCTTTAAAGACAATGTTACAAATATTCAACAGATCCATTTCAACCTATTTGTTATCAATGAACTGCCATTCTACGAACTACTGTACAAGATCTCCTCCCCTTTGTACTATCATATTAAATAAATACATTTACAGTAAATACCAAAAAAAACAAAACCGGATTGACAGAAACATGAGCTGCTGAGGAGGCCTTTATATCTTAAGAGAACTCAACCCTTTAAACAAAGGAACAAACCAGTGCAGACTGTACACGGAAATTTTGTTCAAGCAGAATCGTAAGTAGAGTCACGTTTGCTTTCTACAGCGCTTTATACAATACCGATTGCTAAAAGCTGCTTTATATATAAATAAATAAATAGATAGATTAGCATGGCATTTTGATTTCTGGAATCAGAGATCTTAATTTTGAGAGTATATATAGGACTGATGCGTTTAAGTGGAGTAAGTTTCATGGATGTGACACTTTTCTAATATGTGGATGTGTATTTCCTGGCAGACTGGCTTGCTGTGAAAAGCATTACATTTGTTCCATTTCAGAGTGAGTTCAGACGAAGCCCATTCAAAAGCCTTTTTTTTTTTTTTCTAAACAAAAGTCAATACATTTTATTTTACATTTTACACGAATACACATTACGAATGTGTTATATTATGCTGATACATTGTCAAAATGCCACTTTACGAACTTCTTTTGTAGGCTGAAATAATTCAGACAAACAGTAATAGTTTTATATTTGATACGCTGAGAATATCTAGTGGATTTAAAAAGCACTGCAGTATCCTTTCTATATTTGGAAGAATTTCAGCAGATTGCCAAGTCCTCCTGTTAAACAATTACTAAAAATGATTCCAACACATTTTCTAATTGTATCTGGACTTTAGAGAACAAGTGTGATGTAGAATGTGTTCCTGTGACAGGGCCGTAGCTGTTAGTGCGGGGCCCCGGTGCAGGTTGTACCAGTGAGCCCTGTTTGAAATGATTTCATTTGTATGTTCGTTCTATTTATTTATTTGTGCTATTTACACAATGTTTAAGTTTTTTCAAGTTTGTAGGTGTCCAGGTACAGAAACCGAATATTCAAATGTAAAATAGCACTGCATAGTCTTCACTGTAAAAATTTAAATCAAACCAAAATTTATTCAGACACCTTCAACATTTCTCACATTATAACAGTTTATTTGCTATAGTTTACCGAACACAGCGTGCGAGTACTCGGTTGACTTTTTCCGTGTTTTGTGTTTGAATGCTTTAAACTCTTTTGAATGTTTAAATTGGCAAGGCTTAAAAACACATGCAAATGATAAGCTTTTGTGAGGATGCGCAGCAGTGGCCCGTCAACTGTCCTGAGCGTATTTTTAGACTGGCCTCAGCCAGAGATCCTACAATCGTCACCAACTTTCACCCCACTAGCGACGGCCCTGCCCGTGACAGGGGTGCATTTTTCAGCACAACAAAGTTTCTACTAAATTTATGTGCACATCGCGTAAAAAAAAACAAGTTTAACAAATTGTGTCATTAGAATCGACTTCATACAACAAAATCAGTCAGACATTAGCCTATGTATAAAGCTTTCAAGACAGACCAGCTCTGAAGAGAGGTTGCATTAACTTAACAGCAAAATAAATTCATAATAGACCATGTTTGATTTTTTGTTTATATTAAAGTAAGTATAAACAAATATATAAAATGATTAAATAGATTATTATATAAATAATAGATTGTTTTGAACCTGAACAAATACATATAAAATGATGTGCTTATTTAAAACTTCAAAAGGAAATTTCAGGTCTGGTAAGAGTTTAACCACACCGGTAAACACCGTGATTAGTTTTGTTTAACTGAGCACAATCAAGATTTTTTTTCTCCTAGTGACACAAAATGGACATCAAAAGAGTGATGACTGATGTACTTGAGGATCTTGTGGATAAAGAGCTCAAACAATTCATCTGGCAGCTGTGCAATGGTGTGACGGCAGGCATTGAGCCGATTCCTCGAGCAAAGCTTCAGACTTCTGATCGTGAGGATGTGGTGGACTGCATGGTAAAGCAGTATCCTGATGACGCTGGGAAGATCGCAGTCCAAGCGCTGTGCAACATGAAACAAAATGAGCTTGCAAAGCGCCTTGAATTAAAACTTCAGGAAGGTATTCATTTTTTTTTACTGCTTTAAGATTTCGTATAAATATACATACAATGGAGTTAAGGTAATGTGAATACACATTTGAAATGTAAATATATCATGTGTCTTCAGTTCAGCAGCCTGTGCAGGAGGAAGTTAGAAATGATCCAGAGTCTATGCAGCCCATCCAGTCCGACTGGCTCAGAGCATACAGCATTACTGCATGCAGCCAACAATTTAAGCACAGACTTCTTACACAAGAGAGAAATGATGCAAGTATCTCTGTTTCTTTGAACTTTTGTGAAAATACTACATTCAGGAGCCATTAGTCCTGCTTTTTGGACGGTCACTTTCCTGCAAAGTTAATGAACGTTGCCAGACTGTTGACTTTCACACTCCTGCACATTAATCATAAACTGTTTTCCAATGTATTTTTTTTTCTTTACAGAGCATGTTGTGACATATTTTATGTTGAGCAGTGTTTCCTGTCCCTTCTAAGATATCCCCAAAGTTCCTTCTAAGATTCATAATTCTGATGCATTAAATTGATCAAAAGTGACAGTAAAGACATGTATAGTGGTGTAAAATATTTCTATTTCAAATAGATGCTGTTATTTTGAACTTTCTGTTAATCAAAGAATCCTGAAAAAAATCCATCACGGTTTACACAAACCACAACTGTTTTCCACATTGATAATAATCAGAAATGTTTCTTGAGCAGCAAATCAGCGTATTAGTTTAGGTGTGTTCGACTTGAAGCGGCGCTGCGCAGAATGATCAGTGTATGACATTAAAATGCTGCGAGAGGTACATTCACACGAGGCATCGGTGTCAACGCCTCTCGTTTACTTTGAACAGAGTGACGTCAAGCGTTGGCGAACTGAATTGTGGGTCTATCGCGTCGCTTTGGCGTTGCTCGCGGCAGAAGTTGAAAACTTTTCGTCAAGTCGGACACTTTCTGCTCCCGGTTGTGACGCTCGCGCGGTGTTTGCATACTCTTATCACAGATAAAGTGAATTAAACGTAATATTTGTCAAATACGTGACGTTTCAGAAACGTTTTCATGAGAAACAGAAACACTTTTTATATACTGCTTGTTCAAGAATAAAGTTCAACATAAACATATACTATTTAAATACCAATAAAGTGGGGGTATAAATGCTTTTATCAGTGTTTTTGATAAACATGACTCAATATAACAGTGCAACTACACTAAAAAAGCTTTACTGTTATAAAAACACAGATTTGTGAGCATTATTGGAATTGAATTGTTAGAATAAACATGCAACACATGTCGTGCTTGTCATCACAGAATCTGACCAATGAGAAACAAAATTTGAGCAACTGCAGCGCCTGATCCCAGTAGATATAACTGCAGACCGGAGATCTCCAAAATGGGGCGTGAACTCCAAAAGTGGGCAGAACCTCCAAATTGGGGTGGGGTCTCCTCGCGCAAAGACTTTCACCATTGGCTCTGGCTTCGGCCAATTGTTATTGACTTACATTTCAAAATAAAACTTTATAAATTAAACATGGTTTCTAGTTGATCTAAAATAAAATATGCTATATAAATAAATATTCTCCGTGAGAGCAGAGCCCAAAGCTCGTGGCCAGTGGTGTTCGGACTGGAGTTTGAACATCTGCTTAATGATATAAGCGGGA